ACTATGTATATGTTTCATTGACTTCCTGGTGCGCTATTTCCTACCTCAAGGTAGTGCACTCCGTCTCAAATTGTTTTGGACTCTTTGGTTGTCACCTGACACCTGACTTCTAGAATCCAAGCGTTCAAAGATGTGGACTGACTGAAGTGACTGTGAAACGCTTCCATTAAAACTTGTTTGTAGGAGGTTGTTTCCATTAGAAATAATTCCACTTGGGCTGGTTCCCAAATGAATATTCGATGCATTTTTGCTTGTGTTAACACTCAAAAGTGTATTCATTTTAGGACGGAGAGAGTACTTAAGTGTTAACACTCAAAATTGTCCATGAATAAAGTTTTATAGTCCGCTAAAAGCACGGTAAAGACCCGCTAAAAAACACACGGTAAAGATGAAGCAATAAATGGTGGTCTCCGGAGAATTTATACGACGAGTGCAATAGACCTGAGCGTTACAAAGTATATAACACAAGATGGCGAGTGCCTCCTAAACTATCTAGAAATTCACTCAAGATGATTTGAAAGCACTTGGACATCTTCACCCTCACGCAGGGTGGAGTCGGCAGTGTGGACACATTTAATGCCTCCCTCCATGCTACCATCACATAAAAAAAAAGTGAGGCGTGAACACATTTAATGCCTCTCCTCCTTACCATATAGATAAAATAATTCACCGACTATGCTAGGAACATTTGTACTCACATGCAGCCATGCATCTAAGAGATGCAACTTGGGTTGCGTGCACGCTGCTCCCAGGTGGTGTCCATGTCTGGCTCCCTAGCCATCTGCAGTTCAACTTCCCGGCCGTGCAGCGTCCCATCATCCCTTAGCACCTCGTGTCCACCTCACCATGGCAAACATCGGAGGCGATCGCTTGCGGACTATGGTCGACGATCTCTTGCCTTCCTTACCTTTGCTTTCGGTGTGCCGATGACACTACCGGCAACACTATCGGCATAAATGAGGAAATAAAGCTTGGAACCTATTTTTAAACTAAAACTTGACAACAAATTCTTTTCAAAAGTTAGGACGTTGCATGTGAAATTATATAAGTAGCCCTATTACTATGGTTATGTATCCAAGATAGATGACACTCTGGCGACTTTCGTGAAGCTTAATCAAGTTCTTTGCGTATACTCTTGACCCCAAGTATAGTCCGATAGTATCGACTAGCTTTGCGAGAGATCGGCGTGCCAAAAAATTCTAAGAATGGTTGCCCTATATGTTGGCAAGCAATGAAAAGGACGTATGGGGCGTGCATTCATGCATATCCTGTTTGTGCATTGTAGTGCCCGTATTGCTGCGAGATCGCCATCCATAGGTGTCACGCGTGTCGTATGGTGCACGCCTAACTCGTTCCTGTTCTGGAGGTAATGCTAAACTATGGCTTTGTGCTTCGCGTCACATGTGGTTCATGCCTGCCTAATATTTGGCTTTAATTTCTAACCCTACCTTGGTGAGTTAGTATTCTATATAGTGCATAACCCTGTATTGGATTCAATAGAAGTGCTGGCTTTGCTACTGCATTACTCTTTCTTTTTCCTTTTAATGAAATGATACGCAGCTCTCATGTGTGTTCGAGAAAGAAATATATGCTCCACCGTATAAATTGGAAGTCGTATAAATTTAAGTGTAAATTTGGAAGGTGTATAAGTTCTGTGTGGTCCTAATTGAACATATAACTTTGTTCTATCCAAATGAGTTCATAATTTAGAACTTCTCACTATCTGACAAAGAGTACGGAAATAAGCATCACACAAAGCACTGAATAATTGGCAGACTCAAGTGGGTTACTAAAACCTTTTGTTTTATATTTGTTTTATTTACTATTTAGCTTGGATAAAAATTATTACAAAAAGGTTAATAATGAGATAAGTGATAGGCATGACTAAGTTTGAGAGCAGGCAATAGGGCATCAAGATAAGTATTTGTCACTTTTACAGGTGGAAGCAACATTCCGGGAATCTCGAGCTATCTTGTGACAAGTTCAAGGAATTGTGTATTGTGTAAATATCAGAGACACAATCACAAAAGAAAATATTAAAATAATTATTCTGAAATAATGATAAAATTGCATAGGATACACATACAGGCTAACAAGTATTATTGGGGTCAACGAGACTAGAAAACTACCTTCTAGATGAAAAGTGGCCTTCGAAGAAGGAAAGCAAGTCACTGTCTGATCTTCTGAGACCGTTTTTTTTCTTGTTCCATTACCATCAAAGTATGGGAGGACACGGTGGTAGCAGGCATATAACCATACAAATGCATTATCGCTGCCATATATATGGTCTAAGTACTACCATGTGAAACGGTTCCACATAGATCTGATACCCCACTACGAGTCAAGAAAAATAATATTGTATATTACAGCCACCATAGTATCCTCGTAAATGTTAAAGTGCAAACCTATCCGAACTTTATTTAGTTATTAATGACAAGGAACTCACATGGATACCCGACAGATCGATACTATGCAGCCACGTAAAAACTTAACCACAATGACAATTGCAAGGACATCGCATCACAATATATTTGGTATAGGAATTGCGCCCGCTATTTATTTGGTGAATGTAATAAATAACTTAATCACGCCAGTAGTCAAGTTGTGAACAGGCCCTATGCCCTTGAAATTTGAATAAATCTGCGAAACTTGAATATTTATTCAACTCTTCTTATTTCAACAACTATCTCCCGGGGCCTCTCGTAGGGTAGCGGGCGTATTACAGGATATACAATATGATTGATGCCACCATAGTAGGAATTAGGATAGCAAAGATGGTCATGGTGAGCTCATCTTCATCTAAGCACATCTTGAGAGTGTCGCCTTCTTGCTTCCGACAATGTACTCCGGCTCACCTTGATGTTTTCTTCGATAGCCTCCAACTTTTGCAACACTTATCTCGATCTTTTTCCTAAAATGTTAAAATAGGTTGGCATTTGAATAGGGGGGCTTATCTTTGGTGATTAGTGTTGAGTGTAGAGTGTCTTGTTGTGAAAGGGGATATAGACGATTGGCAGCGGGTTTAGAGGGTGGGTGCAGCGCCATTATCGTAACCTTGACAGCAACGATAATGGGCCAGGGAATCGAGTTTGTGGGGACAACGGCCAGCGCAGATCAGACCAATGGAGGTGACATCACGAGCGGTGTTGTGGGGCGGTGGTGCGACGTCACGGTGGGTGGCGGTGCAGAGAGAGCGATTAGGCGTGTGTTGAGAGGACAGCACCCGAAATGCGGAGAAAAGGAGCCTGGTGAGTGGCCCTCAAGCGGTCTGCGCGGCTTTAATTTGCATCTCGGATCTGGCACATGCGCTTTCTTTGGTGCATGGGTGTATGAGTAAATGTCATTAACTCGCGCACCCAAGCAACTTGAGGGAAGTGGAGGCGTGGAAGGAAAACACTTGGCGGGTCACGAGGTGGGAGAGACGTCGACCATGGTGTAGCGCTCTCCTATGCGAGCTTGAGTGGAGAGAGGAAAAAAAAAAGAAGGGGAGAGGGTTAAAGCAGACGAGGAGGCGCATGGAAAGCCAGCCGTGCCCCAAAGAATAAAAGGAGGGTCCGGACGGGGCAAGGGCGAGAGTCGAGAGCTGACGAGGTGTGGGAAAAGGAGAGAAAGCGAATCGTATGCGAATGAACAAGGCGAGGTGCGGCATAGCTAAACGAGGCTGAACGCATAAGTGGCTCTGTATCGGCAGTGTGGTCCGCAGTGCCGATCACGCGTGGCAAGGAAGTCAAACCAGACCTTTGGGATTGGGACATGGCGTCAATTTAAGTGTTTCAATCACTCCAGACTACTCGAATAATAACTTTTCCGCACTTCGCCGAGTCCCTCGTGCACTGTATGTTTCTCCTTTTCTCAGCCTCGATCCGCTCTTGATCCTCGCCCTCGTCCCGTGCATCTGACCCCCCTCCCTTCTTTCTTCTTTTGGGGACACGGCCGCCCTTACGCCTCCCTCGTCAGCCGAACCTCTCTCCTCCTTTATTCTCCCCTCCGTCATTTCTGCGGGGAGGCGCCATAGCTTACTTTTATCCCCCAGTGTGAACCGGTAGTGTATCCCAATCATGATGTCTCCCACTTCTTATTGCCATGCATACCATCTTTTGTTCGCCACTATAAGATGCCCTTGGTCCCGTGCTCTTCTTCTTCATCCCACCCTCTCTAATCCGTAGAGCTACGAGATCCGTCGTCATTGTGGAACTAGGTTCGTCTAATAGAGGCGATGGTGTAATCCGACAAGAAGGGATATGGTTTTCGAACAAGTTCAAGTCTATCCTTGGTTAGTTTGGTCTTAGGGTTCACGATGTTTGACTTCTCAGTCTCCTGTTTCTGGATCTGTGGGTCATACGCCATGTTTTGGATAATCATTATCTTGTTGTTTCTTCATTGTCCTCGTCTATCCCGACTTACGGAGTAAGCCTTGGCTGTACTAGGTTACTCTTAACCATGTGACTTGAAATCCCGGAGTAATTTAGTGTTCGATGTCAGGTAATCTTCGTGTAATTTCATATTTACGAAATGTGTTGTAGTTTACGCTTGGGAGCGAATCCTAATTCACTCTTTTGTAAAACTCTCGCGTTAGGAGCGTATCTTGTGTTGTAGTTTTTGCTCTTTCCACCTATAATGTAATCCTAACTAATGTTGTGCTTTGAATCTAAGTGTGTTTAGTTGCTTGAGCTCAACTCCATCAAATACTTCTTTCCACTAACATGTCATTGATTTGCGGGACCTAGAATAGACACCATGTAATGACAACCAACCCTCTATATTCGTTTACAACATTGTAATGAAAAAACCATGTTACCTTTCCTTCTCATATTTTTCATTTAATGTACCAAATAGACCAACCTTTCGTATCAACGCTGTGATGAGAACATATATTAGACATATGAGTCCATATTTCTTAAAATTTTCCTATACCAAGCATATCACCCTTGGCAGAATGCGCGAGCAGGCAGTGGCTAGTACAGTATGAACACACAACACAAACCCGCGTGCAGTCACAGTCAGTGTATGCATCTTCCTCCTCGAACGTCCATCCGATCTTCCCCATTTGGCGCTCCGGCAGGCGGCGCGCCATGTAACGCTTCCAGTCCGCGATCACCCCTCCTGAGGTCGAACAGCTTGTTCTCCAGCCCGACGCAGCAGGTCATGTGCACGGTGGCGATGCGGTTGAGGTCCCTGCCCAGCTGGCAGAAGCCGCTGACGGTGGCGGCGTCGATGAACCGGATCCGGACGCCCAGCCTGCCCGCGAGCTCCCGCTTGATCTCGTTGAACACGAACTGGTCGTGGTTCTCCGGGAACCGCCGCCGCGCCGCGTGCCAGTACGCCATGGCGCGGATGGTCCGGGCCGTCGACTTAACGTAGATGAAGCCCGTGTTGGGGAAGTTGCCCAGGTCGTCCAGGTTGCCGAAGTAGAAGTCGCTCGACGTCGTGATGTCCGCCGCCATCGTGATGTGCACCAGCGGGTTCCGGAACCACGCCACGTCCACGTCCTGCGTGAACGGAACGCCTCGTGAACATCGATTAGATATTGATGATTGATGCATTCATCGGTGAACGGGGACGGAAATTAAAAATACTGCGTGCGTTGTGTACGGGGTACGTGCCGTGAAGAGCAGGTTGTAGCCGAGCTCGAGGATGCGCTGCTGCAGCTTGGCTTGCTCCACACGAGTCGAGGTAGTCCTGGTCATGTAGCTCTTGGCGCCGGAGAGGTCGAGCCCCGCCTTCTCCGGCCGGAGGAGGTGGCAGTGCGGGTGCACGGCCTGGCACCGCCGGAACGCGCCGTCATCCATGGCCACCACCACGATGTGCTTCAAGAAGTGCGACACGTTCTCGCCCACGCGGAAGCTCTCCAGGAACAGAGTCAGCAGCGACCCCGGCGCCGCCCACGCCTCGTTCACCGACGTCGCAGTCACCGTCCGGTCCTCCATCGCCGCTCGCCGCAGCATCCGCGCAAACTCATCCGCATCGTCATCGGAATCAGACGCGCCCGCCTGAAAGAGAAACCACGACGACATTAGTTGACCATCGATGACCGGCCGAGCATGTGTACGCTCTGCTCGGGCCCAAGAACAAGGAAGCAGCGCATTACCTCATTCGCCGGAGCTCTTACTCCGCCGGTGTGTTGCTCTGCAGCGACGACGACCGTGCCGTTCGCTCGTGGAGTACTGCAGCGCACGCTACCTGGAGCCAGGGACCTCCCCACTTCTGAGGACCGGTCTCCAGCGCGGGCCATGCGGGCCTCGCCGTCGCCGTCAGGAGGAAGAGGAGCAGCACGGTGGCCGAAGCCGCCCCGAGGAGGAAGACGACCAGCGGAGACAGAGACAGGCTGTTCTTGGAGGTGGCCATTCCTGCTGAGGGCGAAATAATGCTACTACTAGTAATAGGTAGCTAGTCCCGAGTCCCCAACTCGCATATATCTGCAATCATGCCGATCTGTTCCGAAATTGACTTCTCTTGGAGATTGATAGTCTGATGATGGATGTGCCAGTTTGTGCTGCCCAACTCTCGTGTTTCATGCAATATTTTTTCTTCCGTTATTCTACCTGTCTGGTATCACTTACCAAACGCAGGTAGGATTATATTTTAGGACGTAAGAATTTCACTTAAATCATATAGTAATTTAACACTAATCAGTTTAATTTTATAGGGAAAAAATGCAGAAACACACACAAAAAACTCGTGTTCTAAACAGAGTCTTCCCTAGGCGATAACAGATTCTGCCCCTCTAGAGCACATGTTCGTGTGTTTCACCGTTAGATTTGCTTTGACCTTTTAAGTATATAAAACAAGAAACACTTTGAGCACACAGTGTATGCAGATGTAAACGGTCAAAAATTGTGAGAGCATCAGTCACCCCACCCCTAGCCGGAGCCGTTAATCAAGTGAATGTCTCGAGCATTGGGCACATAAACAAGGGACAAGGCACAGTACAGATTACAATAATAATGTTTAATAATTGGTTTTCTCTTTTTAAGTATGCAGAGGAGATAGACCTGTGACCTATCGATCGAATCACAAGCGATCAGTTTCATACGCCCTGGTCGCTGTTTATAAAGGCCATCTTTTCAGGTAACCCAAAATAATATTTTTACTCTGCACAACAATCAGTCGAAAATACTCTTTCGGTGTGAACTTTGCATCAACCAAGTGAACAGAACGAATAATACATGAGAGCTCCATCATTACCATATGGTGCCCTTTTTCTATTCTATATATAGCTGCGATGAAACTTCTGCAACTGAGACTATTATAATACGGGTCTCAAATATTCAGACTTCAAATGAAGGGTTGTTAGAGATTTATCTATGCCACGAATTCATACGGAAGAACAGAAAAATAGAGATCTGTCAGCATCAAGAGAGATGCTTGACGATTTTAACGTCCAACTCACTGAATTGCAGCGCGATGCACGTGCCAAAGTGCCATAGGTCAGGCAAGATGGTCACTCCGAACAAGAAACCTCACCAGAAATGAAGGTCATCCATCCGTTGTTCCGGAGAGGAAAGAAACTGACGAGAACAGGGCTTGAGCTTGACAATGACAAGTGTTCCCCCAATCCGGCTCATTCTTCGCTTATTCTCTTCCATTGAAACCAAGACAGGTTTCTGACAGACCCCAAAGTCGGCTTTGCACTGAAAAACTCCAATGTTTTTCCCCTCTGGCAACAATGGGGTGATCAAACAGCACAGCAGTTTGCAGTTTGGGGAAGGACAATGGACAACATGCTCACCCATTTCTGACCTCTTCATAAATTGTAAGCCTGCTTCAGTCATCAACTAAACATATATGTACTAGTATTTGGAATTTTTGTAGATGATGGAGGTAACCTCCAACCTTTATTTGAACTAAGCCACAAAGTAGGGATACACACGCCCCATTTTGTCTATCTAACTGTAAGATTGATGAGCGGAGTCGTGTAAGAACATTTCATGGATCCTGCAAAATTGGGCGAGAAACTGTTTTAATTTTTCGAAGGAATAGGAAATCCAAATAGGCCAGCTTGCCGGCCTTGACCCATAACTTTCCATAGGCCCATGAGTGGTTTTAGGTTGATCCCAATGGATCCCAAGGTGGTCATAGTCAAAATGTAGCCTTTTGTGGTAATTACCGGGCGGAAGCGGTCTCTCTTGTATTTTAAAACTTCTACCTTCTTAATACAATGATACACAATTCTTTGCGTATTGAGAAACTCCTCATCTTTCATTGAAAGTTGAAACCCCCTGCTCGCTGCTGTAGAAATCTGGTAAGAAACTGTTCAATTCGTGAGAGGCTTCCATGGAAAGGACGACCACCAGAAGAGTTTCACACAAATTTCAGCACAGAAACATCTCGATCCTCACAGGGACAACGAAATTTCCATGTATTCCATCTGGATAGTCCAAGTTTTTGCATATACTGAAGTATACTGAAGTTGAATTGTCGCTCTCTCTGAATCTCTGATGCGCGTGGGCCTGCCTGCCATGCACCTCGCTCCCCTTCGTCTTCTCGGCGTCGTCCAATCCGTGGCGATATTGTTGAGGTCATGCACCTTGTTTCTCCAGAGCCCATGCAGCAGTCGGCTGATTCTGGAAATCACAGAAGCAGCTCGATCCTGGCCCTGAGCCATGCTTGATCTTGCTCAACACCATTTGCTAGTTGTCTGGCTCGTTGGCTTCATATAGTAGAGAGTTGCGAGTTGATCTCGTAGTCTGGGAGATCGGAGGCTTCAAGCATCTTGGATGGAGCTGTCCAAAAAAGCAGCTCATGTCTAAGTGCTCTTTTCTCTCTTTTCTTTTTTGGGTCCTCTAGAACTTTGTATAGGGTGTAGCTTGTTTTGTATAAGTTGCTCTTAACTGTTTTGCTATCTTTCTTTCGTTTAAACGCGTGAAGTTAGTGGGACAGTGTGGTGGAGAGTTTGGTAACTTAGACATTACTAATAAGCTTTCAATAGAAGCTGGGCCAATGGTCTAAAAAACGCAGCTCATGTTAAGCGTGAGACAAAGATCTGGGAGATGTGCCGGAATGGGTTGCGGCTCATGTTAAGCGTGAACAAGATCCAGGAGATGTGCCAGAATGGTTGCGAAGCCACAAGTTCTCACTCGTGGAGCTAGATTTGTACCACGGGCCTTTAAAATTCCGGGTCCACAGCAGGAGCAGCGTGGAAAATCCTAGACCCAACCCGTTGAAGCTGTTCCAGCTCTTGCCCTTGGCTCTAA